TGAGGTTCGCCCGCACAACCATATCCCTACCATACCATACCAGCAAACAATCGAAATTTGGCAGGGAATTTCCAATTAGCAAAGCAAAACCAAAACGTATCGATTTTATTCTACAAACAAGTGTTGGTCAATACATAGCGGAAACGGAGAAACAATCTTGACAAATACGTCAGTGTAAATACCGCTTTACTGATATCAAGGTCAAAGGAAGAGGGAGGGGGACTGCACCTCTTTTTCCCTTTAGTAAAATGGTTGGTAATATGTATTAATTTGATTGACACTTATTGTCATATGTAACCTAGGGAGGGGGGGGGGGGGTGAGGCTGAGAAGGCACATAAATGAAGAGGTAATCTCAATGAATGGTAACAGTCAAAATTTGAGTTTTTAACATTTGCACGATAATTTCTCGAAAAACATCAAACAGAATCCTCAGTGCAAAGAATGGATAGATCACCATGCATGGCGTTCCCTGCATGTACCACATAGATATCATACAGAATAACTTTTGTCACCTGCATGTTATTTTACAAGTACTACACGTAATTACAATTAACGCCTACACTGAAATCAATCCCGTAGACGGTATAATCCGATGCAAGCATTTTATCAAAATCCTCATAATTATATAGATCAGTGAGTATATACTTTCGAGGAATTCAATACACACGATGCATGCTATTAAAATGAGTTGTTTACTTTTTGCTTTGCAACTGTCACGTCCAGTTTTCCCTAGATCAATAATGTTTGCTATTTGATAAAAGACGAAATCGGGAAAAATAGCGTGGGTAAAAATATGTTTGGCAACGGAAGTTTGAAACTCCAAGCTCGGCTAAACGGCGATGGGAGTATCCACAAGCTAAAGGAAGTTTGTTTTGAAAACACAGACGTTATTTTTTGCCGTCTTCCATGTATAGGCATATCATTAAGAACTCATTGCCCATAAAATCCAATATATGCCAGCAAGGATATCAACATATCATAACACCTCTTCCAGTGATTGCATTTGACCTTTGGAAACCAGCTAGGAAGTTTATATTATTGACAAGCTCAAAACATCTGGCTTGGCAAAGCGCCGTCATATTCTATTCCGCGTTTCGGCAAGTTAAAGCTGATACCGCTTACTTTAGCTCCAGGACAAAAAGTTTTTCAGGTACAAATATATACAATCGCATGTTAATGCAACCTTGGATTGTCTGACAGTCTGGTAAAATCGAGCGTAGTGCGGCATTGTTACACTGGGTTACGGTTTGAAGGTAAGAAAAAAGGTAAATATACAGTATGAGAGAGCTCCACGCAAGGATTTCATTACAAAGCCATTGTCAGTTTCGAGCATTCTTTATATCGATTCATCTATATCTTGCAAATATTGCGACACTCACTTTCATGTCACAATTGTCGTGAACGTCTGCGCGACTGAACGAAATGTATTCGTATATATTTATACATAATTGCATTTGTTACACACAGTATTGTTACATACTGTACGATACGGAATTATGTAAATATGGATTTTTTTAATCAAAAGAGAGTTGAAACAAAGATATATAGTCTCATAGGAATAGGAATATACATAATTATATATTTTCAGCCTCGAATTCCTGTTCTGTCGAATCTTCTAGCTCAATTAAGACCTGTTCTTATACGATCCAAATTTGTTAGACAGCTCCGCATCTGGCGTAACTGATTTGCTGGCTGCATATATTTATTACCAGTTCAATGATAACACAATAGTATCTGATCCAACAAAATTGGATCGTATAACTAGATATTTAAAAATACAAGGTGCTTCAAAAGTGCAACTTGTCAGTGTTACTTCATGTTAAGGTTATAACGAAAATTAAATCTACGAACGTTTCATACTGACTCAAAAATAATTTATCCAAAGGGTACGTAAACACAATTATATTTAATTAATTACTTTGTGTGGTTATTCTACCAACCAAGGGAAAAACGTATTCCAAATCTCAGAAGCATAGCAACTGGTCGCACAGGCATGAATTGAAATGCTGTTCGCAATATCCTTCTACAGCCAGGAATGGATTTTTTCCGATCTACTACATGGTGCATGCCTATGTTCATAATGTATGATCGGTTTACTCTTATTGTAGCCTAGCTATTGATTGTTCCAACCCAACCTCGCACCCAGGAAAAGGCTGCCCACGAGACTCAGGTGTATTAGGAGCAGTCCTCCCTGGGTACGAAGTTGGTTCTAAACTCTGTAATGATCGCACCAATAGTATATAAGAAACTGCATTGTATGAAACTTTTCAGGTGAATGTGAGTTACGTGCATGAGTATAATGTACTGAAGAACTGAGAACTGAGGCATTTTCAGATAAACCTTACAAATACAATAGCACCAAACCATTGAACATCAAGGGGAACTACGACTGATTCTAAAATATGCCGTAAATAACAATCATGCATTGCTCTTAAATATATAACAAAAGTAGTGCATGACCTGAATTTTCCTCTCGCGCGCTAGAACTTAGCATTCCTGCAGTTTTTACTTATTGTAAAAAAAATTCAATACGGGCTGGGAAAATCACCTTGCAAAATGTTTCTTTCGTTTGTTTTATTTTTCAGTCCACAAAAGCTTACGAACGCTTATCAATTTAGCCGCGGGCTGAAATTTTTTCCGTTTTCTACTTTTCGTCTTTATTTTCTTTGAAATAATTGGAAATACTATGTTTTTAAATATCTGTGCAACACAGAAGCTTATATCGACTTGCATATATGAACGAGGGAAGGATGAACTCGGCAAACAAAGTCCTATATATTGGCATCAGCATGCAGTAAATAAAGGACTGCTGTGGTATATACATCGATCTTTGTCTGAAATTTTGTATGAAATTAGGTATGCATGGGGGGATTCCCAAGACATTTGAACGTTCGTATAATGTAAATGTTTGATATTTTTTAATTTTTACTATACCTTTTGTTCTCATGTACGTGCAGTAGCGATTGTCAGATCATTACGTCGAGAATTGCCAAGCTATATTACGAACCGTTTTTATTCGAATATGTCAAAAATGTTACTGATTATTATTCATGTAACACTTTGAGAATCATGTGTAAATTTCACGCTAAGGTTAACAACATTGTTACAAAACGACTGTGTTCTCATACTTCTTATTGTACATACGCTTGCAGTAGACATAGGTATACTTAATTTAGCCATTCGTACCGCAATATCAAGTAGAATAAAGATGACGCCCTAAAGTCATTTCAAAAAAATAACACCTGTTGATTCTCAGCAAATGTTGCACCCAAATTTTTCATGGATAAAGGAAGCCATTGCATGAATGAATGAATGATTGAAAAGCCGATATTTTGCATAAGTTCTTTGGCAAATCATTCCAAAAATCAATGCTAAAAATAAGAAAACAAAGAGACTATAGCTATAGTTGATTGTTATATTCTGTCCATATATTACACGATGGCTATTTGAGAAATTGTGAAATATGCATGGTGGTAATGATTGGTGGCTTGCAAAACAATATTAAAAACTAAAGAACTGTTCTTGGATTAAAACAGATGAAAAGTACATTAATTATCGGCCATAAGTGCACGTTACTAAATATGCGATATCCCATACTCTATCAGTATAAAACTTCAACTAATTGATAGGTCACAGTATATAAGCTACTGACAGTGTGCCTACGTCCAAACCTAATGACGCGATGCTAATGAGATTTGAACTTCAGTTATGGAGCCAAAAGTTTGGGATTTCTTTTTCAACCTCTTTGCTATACTCTTGTTAATAGGAAAGTGCTTTATAAGTGAAAATCTTGCATGTCTTCATATTCCGCGTCGTATACTCTCTCACGTCATCATTGCAAGCTAATTACGAGTTAACATATTTGTGGGTGTTCCGAAGTCGACAGATTGCCGACACGATTTCATAAACAGATCAAATTTGGCACGCGTTCATGTCGACAAATCCTAATTCGGATAATGTTATCTCGCTCCGATCGGATTTACACTGATCACATTGATCTCCTAATATTAGCCAGAAGATACTAGATCTTTAATCCCTGATTAATGGTTTTGCCACCGCATCAAACGAAATACTAAGGGACAAACAAACCGGCCGTGCTTACTCGAGTAAAACGGGAAAATTTCATTGCAGAATATACCGTTGTAAATTAACACGGTTTATCTAATGTACATTGGCATGCACTCTTCCTGTGAAATACAAGTGATAAGTACGCAGGTGTTCAGTTTGGCTATTTGAGATTACGGTCAGTTGGTTAAAATCACACTCCCGAATGAACACGCGCGCCAGCATTCGTACTGAATTAATTCTGTCGTCTACTGCACACACTATTGTTGATCTGTATCATAGCAATCGCTCTCCCTTGGTCGGTTGATTTTTACTGTTCCTAATGATAAGTCCCGCATACTGAATACAAAAGTACAAGTCAATATAAAATATATATACAGTATATTTATATATACGCGTTCGGTGGCATAAAAAGTATATATAAACAAGCATTGTAAAACTTTGAGTACTGCAGTGTATGTATGTAACCATTGATTGTTTTGAAAGACAAAGCTGCGCTTGATTAGATCGCTATAGACCAGCGCGAAAGGTTCGACATCTGTGCATCCATAATATTTTATATATAATTATATCTTTCTTTGCATGCATGTCCGTGAAAAGAAAAGTGATAAGCCTTCGGCTTGTGACTATATTCATAGACCGGTGGCCTTTTCAACCAATAGTTTAATGTTACTGGTAGCGATTGCAAAGTGCTTTTGATCCTTCCCGAGAAATCGAGAAATCAAAAATTCGCCGGCCCTTCGATCATTTTACTCAAGCATGAGAAATTTATATGGAGCTTGCAGGGGCGCGTAGACCGTATTCCGTTTCATATAAACAAATGCCAGCGAAGCTATATGAGTGGATGCTCTTTGAAATGCTAAGAATAGCTCAATGTCCTATTGTTTTGAGATATGCTAATTTCAAACATTTCAAACGAATGCAGTCAAATTAGTGCACAGCGCCCAGGCGTCCTCTAGTTGTTGACGAGTGTTGGACGAGCACAGAGCGAGTGAAATCGAAGCAGGACAAAAACAACAATTAAACAAAATTTAGAGGTAAACATTCATACATTATACTCGGTAGCATCAACTCTCTGGGATATTACGTGCTGCAGAGCTTTATCAAAACTGTTTGCGTGGTTGAAGGATTTATTCCCTAACTTTAGGCAGATTTAAGAGTTTTTAACGATCAGATATACGTATTTGGATATTATAGAGGATTTGCATTTTTACGTTCTAGGACATAAATATAAGTATTGTAGTGCTACTACCGAGCGACTTCAGTCTTTAGTAAGCTAACGGGGCAGTGTATACATGCATCAAGCACAATCTTTTCTTTTTGCAGAAAATGTTTTACGAGCGCCTTGATAGTCACATGCTAGAACCTCGAATGGGATTTCTAATTGACTCAGGATACGAAGACATGTGCAATGCAAGCAACGAGTTGAAAGATGATTCATGGCAGAAAGTACAGAACGTCCTGCCAACACCACCATGTTCGCCAGAGGAGTTATGCTACCAAGGCTTTCCAGAGTTTATGCAACCAACCGCACCACAGAACGGCTTTCAGCAAGGTCTTCAAGTGGTACCCGAAGAGATTCCCGATGACCTAGTGGACACAGAGGTGGACTCCTTGCCAGTGCTGGATATTAGCGACGAAGAAATGCAAAAATTGACTTCGCCTACGATATTTGATGAGACCATGTGGCAGATGCACTCTGCTCAACCCACACAACAACAACAACAACAACCAACACAGCCACCAACGTGTGAACCCTACGACAGCCGACCTACCACCGTTTCTGATGTCAACTACATTTCACATGGTATACGTACAGTTCATATTTCGGATCAGGTCGTACGATCGCCCGCTTATAGCCAGTCATTCGTACTCACCGTCAATGCTAACCCTATCCAACCACTCAACACGATGGGACACCTGATCACACGAGAAATCCTAGCAACTTCTGGCAATTCCGCCATCATTTCGGGTAAGTTCAGCACGCGCTTTTACTTTTAACGTTACCGACCCTCTACGCAAAACCCGAGCATATTCACCGTATACTAATAAGCTATTTTGAGACTACATTAAAATTTGTAAGTGTTCTCGTATATATTTTTAAGTATATCTGTCCATGCGGCCTAATTAGCCACTAGCCTCGTTTACATGTAGATTTATATTATGACACGAGCCATGGCCACACGTGCGAAGCCAATTTTCGTCACCGCAGGATAGTACTACACAGTTTACGCTCCAAAATTCACCATGCTGTTTAAAAATTGTTTATACGCTAATCAGTGTTAAACTTTACTTAAACGATTCCCTAAATTTGTGTCCAATAAACGCGGTCATTTACTTGTGGCTATAATCACCGAACACTATAGGTTCAAGAGATTCCCTGAAGGTATTAGTTTGAAAGCGCTTAGACTGTATGGCTCACCGCGGTGAATATATTGAGTGCGAGCTTTGAATTGGCAGCCAATAAAATATGAACTCACCCATGACCAACACGACCGCAAGAATACGAACTTTTTCCACTCCGAATCGGTGTTTCGATTTCCCCAAACGATTTTAGGATGTCGATAAGTACAAGCTATGTAAAGATTGCAATTTGTAGGCAAAACAGGAAATCTACACTTTATTGTGTACTCACACGGTAATATGATAGTCATTGCGGCACGCGTGCACCGTACGCCTATTGCTTTCGAAATAGTTACTCATTAGCGAAGAATTTCGCGCGTGTACGCTTGCCAAAAGTTTTCAAATTGTTGTAAAAGACTCCCATGGAACGAGAGAAATGTCTCGTAAATTCTCACAGTTTCCCATTCAGACTGCAGTCCGTGAGAGTTGCTAAGCGGCCCAAGTAACATATGGTCAATGTTTGTCTCTCTGCCCAAAAGCACCATCAGTTTATCACAATTAGATGCGAATAGCTGTAAAAAGTCAATCAGTCCTTCCTGAACGATATTGCCTGCCTCTCGGTACATAAAGGGTTATGGCTTGGCTGGAAATATTTCATATCTCTTTGCGCAAATTACTGAAAATCATCTTGGCAATAAAATGATCATTCGCAAGTCGTAAATTCAAAGCTTTTCATCAACGTTGGGCTATAAGTGATTAGGCACGCGTCGACACATTTATTTGTTTGGACTTTGGATGTGTGCTTAGCGATTTATCAATCATTATATGGCTCAAATGTTTCCTGCTGTCCTCATTTGGAACTATGGTAAAGAATTTAACATATAAAGGATTATATCCCCCAGAAATGAAGACAGGAAAAGCTTGTTTTGTCTTCGTATCTTCACGGGTGCTATTTCATTCAACAAAGTCGCGGTCGATTTGCAATTTTAGTTACAGTTGAGTAGTTATGAACCGCGTGGTCTTGTCCTTTGCAAATTTTGGATATGGACATTAGGTTTGGGGTATACTCTTTGCAAATGATTGAAGCGGTTAAACAGATATAGCTTAAAATTACAAGTAGCCTATATATTTATAAACATATAGCAATATATGCTACATATGGTCCTATATATATTTTACCAGATGCGATGAATCGTGCACTGTCTGTGTCTGCCTTTGGTCAAAGAATATAAACATTTCCTATATCGTCTGATGTCAACATGGTTAGAATTAATGCCCATGACGAATTAGGCTTTTTGTCTTAGAGCGTATATAAGACCGTATCCGCAGATTAACACATCAACATCTTATTAGCATCCTAATGAAGATATTTTAATGAAAAGTTTTACTGATTTCTTTAACATTAAGAAAGATTAAATTGATTTGATGAGATGAAATGTATCTTAGCCGTATATCAAAAATATAATATTGATATAGTCCGCTGCTGCTTTAAAAATAATCGAAATATTCTGACATAAATATTGAATAAAGTGGCAAGAGTTTTACACCCGACTATTCATAACTGATTTAACAAATTGCAAAGATTGGCGACATTCATGAAACCCAATCGTAACTTTATGTAGACAAAATGGGAGCAGACTTTCAGAATGGCCAGATATGTATCTCATGCATTATTGAATATCATGTCTAATTAAACCGTTTTACAGAGGAATGGAAAGAACTGAACCATGCAAATCATATTCATTGTCTTTATATATAAGTATAAAGATTTCGGAGTCAGTTACAGGGATGCGAAAGTTAAAATACAGCACCTCTGAAACATTATCTTAAATGATCGTGTTCTTGAAACTTGTATGTCATGCACTCAGAATTGATATTGCAGTTCGTATGAATGAATCTTTGGGTCACGTTTTTTGCGTTATCGCTAAATGAGTTTTTGTGTTAAGCGCCCACACATAAAAAATATATAGGGTTTGATGTTATGATCATGATTCCAAAGACAAAGTCTGTCATACATTCAGTAAATAAATACAAGCTAGCAGTAACAGTGAACTTTGTCCCTTCTTTACGAAGTCTTCTATCGTTCCTATTGTTGACATTCAATTGAAAAAAACACACACAGCTGTTTTGTTATGAGAAGACTATATGTCACTAAAATGTTAAAAAACCCCCAGTAATTTGAGTCAAAAGTCGTTCCGAATTCACATTTTTGCAATGAAGCCGTATATATCAACCTCTTACCAATAAACTAACAAGACAATATATGCCGGGGGAAGCAGCTTTTTTGTTGAGTAAAAATAATTAATTTTGTACTACCAGCAACTCAAATATTCAATGCATTAGTGACTTTTCGAACACCTGTTTTTCAATCTGTAAAGGGATTATTCAAATTTCTAATTCAATTCATTCATTACCTTGCTACCATGGCAATAACGGCGTAGCTTTATTTAATTGCACCTATCAACCAATCACATTGTTGGATGTTTATTCTTTGTCAATGAGTGCATCTTTTGAATGAAACAGTAAAATTGCGACATTGGCATACATTCAATTGATAAACACTTTATTACCTTTTAGAAATCAGGGCGCGCTTTTAGCCGATACAAAAGTCGAAATTAAGAAACGGAAACTATATTTGAATCCGCTGAACGCTCAGAATAGAGCAATAAGAAGGGCCGGAAAGATTATTCCGATTTTAGGCAGGCCCATCATTTTCATAGATATCCGGTCCACCAGACTCTAGCGATTTCCTAGCCTGACCTCAAATTTCCCTCGAAAATTCTGGATACGTCTTCAGTCATTCTGGAAAATGTTACCCTATAATACAAGTTTATCGAGGCAATTGAAAGAAATATTTAGTCTTTGTTTGTAATGAGATTGTATACACTACACTATGCAAGTCGTATCTACACCTAGCATTTCTACAGGTTTACAACTGAATCACAACCCAGTCCGGCGTAATATTTCCCTGAACAGTAGACCACCAACACACATTTTAGCATTATGAAGAAAACAGCCTCTGCGATATGCAAACGTGGAAACTGAGCAATATATCACGGTTTTTTATTACAAGATTCTCATTGTATATTCAAGGACCATGCCGGAGTATTGAAATGTGGGCAGCCATATAAGCGGTGATCTCTTTATATACATCCTACATGCTTTTCATGCGATCGGATGAAGCCGACTTACAAAACCGACTCTATATGTGCTACGCACTTCGTAATAGGAATCTTCCCTTTAAATGTTTATATTGACTTAGAATATTGTGATCAATGCCAGTACATGGTTGCGGCGCCAGATTTTTTAAAGAGCGTTGCAAAAAGTTACAACACGCATCATATAATCAGGTTTGTCAGATTTGCTCCAGCCGGCCGTGTAAGGGCGGATCCATATTTTCGTCTGGATTTTTCCGGAATAAATTTAGCAAGTTACACACCTTCATTTAGTCCAAATTTACGCGCGCTTTTAATGGCTTTTAATCCTGTGGTGACAATCAATATATGATTCGGCTCAGAAATCCCTACTGCAAACCCACTAGACTATAGTAGATAGCCGACTGTAAGCAAAGACCTAAATTAGGATTTCTTTTCTCAAAGATGTTTGCTCAAGAACAAACATGTAAGTTATAGTTTGTGTGGGAAAAATTAGGTTATGCGCACGTATGTACATGCATCAGTTAGCCATTAGCGGAACATTATTCAGCAAAGCTTTCAATCCAAAGTTTTATTTCTTCTTGAAATTTGATATATTAATCTAGCAGAGAGTGTCCTTATGAGCTTATGTATAATCGGGTCCATGTTATCACGATTAAAACCTTTTATCGAAGAATCTGCATATGGTGGCATGAAACATAATAGAATATATAGTAATGATTGCGAAAGTAATAACATATATGCACGTTATGACGACAAATCTATACATTGAAATCATATTTCACTTTCTATAACGGTGTAATATATTATGAATACAATGCCTTGCGGCTTCAAATTGGAGGCGAGCTTGATCTAGATCGACCACAAGGAGCGCGATCAAAATCCTTCGCGAACTTCAATTCAATTTATCAAATCGCACAGGATTTTGAACCGATTGACCGTTAATTCAAAAATCGCTTCAGATTAGAATGTATACAATCCGTCACAAAGGATGGAGACCACCTGTTGGTATAGTCATAATGTCTTAATGAACTATTCAAATTAATCAAAAATATATTTACACAAATAGCTAGGGAAGGATTGATTAAATAATTACCGCGCTTCATGATTGGATTGAAAATTTTAGTATCATTTCTGTCGAGGATTTAGCGTATTTCAGGCTATTGTATCCAATTTATTTCAGATCATGGTGTTTGCAACACTTAAAACCAAATACCGCGCTTGATATTGATAGAATATGCTTGTTTTTGGTACTTTAAGATTACGATTTTGCGATAATTACAGGGTAATGTAAGGGGATTAATCGATATATTCTATCTTTTAGATCCGAATTATATGAACGAAAGGGTTAACCTAGTTGGCCCGTTTGACCTAACGAATCTTCAAGCTTTACCAGAGAGTCCAACGAAGCGAGGCCGAAAGATCAGACGTTCAATAAGTCGAGGGACACATGAAACGGTGCTCACCGAAGAGCTCGCGGATGACTCCGAGGATAGCGAGACAACTCGAGCAACACACAATGTTTTAGAGCGAAGACGGCGCGAAGAGTTGAAGGAGAAATTTCAACGGCTGCGTGACTGCCTGCCGGAACTGCAAGACAACGACCGAGCGCCTAAAGTTCTCATTTTGAAGAAAGCCTGTGAGTATGTAAAATATCTAAAGCAAGAAGAACAGAGATTGCTTGCTGATAAGGAACTTGAGAAGCAGAGACTGCTTATTCTGCTTAAGAAACGACAAATGCTTGCTCAAGCGCTATTCTCAATGCAATGTTAATCCGTGTGTTTTTCATAATAGCAAGATAGATATAATTATAACATATTTTTTAGAATTATAACAGATTTTTGTACGGAATATCAATATTTTATACATTCATCGCCAACACTAGGCATATGGAGCCTGCCGTGCAAGGGATTTCGAAAAGCGGTGTCGTCAGTTCTAAAATTAGCATTGGCCGTTAACGCCACGTGGCCGTTGATTTTGAGAACAAAGAACTTAAAAATCTATTCAAAAGCGTGGCGTGTTTTCGTGAGAGTATCTTTAATCAACAAATAACTAATTTTAGCGATCATCCGATGCAGATCTAATTTAGCGAAATCGTTTATTTTACATTCGTGCCGCCAAAACCTTCACTTTAGCTTTTAAAAATGTGGCAAAATTGAAGTATCAAACTTGATTAATTAGCATGTATCCTACGCTGTATAAAACGGTCATCTCAACATTTGAACCAACTTGACTAGCTTGCACGTAGGTATATCCAGCGAATAATGGCTATAGTAACTGAAGCTGGGATGTCTCAATATAACTTACACACGATTTAGCAAAACGAAAATTAGGTTAAGAAGAATAAAGGCAAGAAAGCTGAGGTGACCGTCTTTTTGTCTCGGACGTTTTCAGGATTACTAAATTCAGAATCATTTGTTTGAGACAAAGAGCTGTCATCTTGCCTTTGTTGAAAATTGCTGTTGAAGTACTATAAGAGACATTGTGACGTGCGCGTTTGGACAGGTAATCCGTGATCAGATAGGGACGTTGATAGCTAAAATTTGAATTCAATTGCAAGTCTACCAGTTGCGATATATTAAAAATGTTGTGAACATTGAACCATATTGCGTACGAATATCAATGAAACTCAAATACTCGAGGAATCGGATTTAATCTTGCATGCATGCATTAATTTTTTTCTTCCCTCATTAAGTAAAGTCTCTTAACAAACCACGCTTTCCTCTTGTAATGTCCTTCAAAACCTCTTTATCCACATAGTACTTAACCCCATCAAACCGACTTCATTTAACTTCCTCAGCAGAACAGCATCCTGCAACATCAGGTCGTCCATATTTGGTAAAATGTTTCATAGTTATACACAACAAGCCAGCTTTGACTGCAGATGGCTATATATAATTCGTCTTCACTATGAAAAGTTCTGAAATTATGCCCTTAAAACATATAAGTAAACCGGATTGAGTGGTTCTCTGCACGAGTTTATCGTCGATTTTTTAAATTAAACCTTCCTTGTACAAATCAGTACAATACTTTTCGGATTTAAGGTGGTTTCACTTCGGCTCTTTCGTCGACAATGTTCGCCCTAACACCGGATTCGTATCCTCTTAACTTAAAGATTTTTGCTGAAATCAATTTAAAACGATAACATTTCACGCCTTGCGCAAGTGTCAATGCGGACCGCAGTCTCCATGTACCTAGTGTTGAGAATTGCTGCTCAAAAAAAAACCCGAATCACATGCATAATATTTAAGCCTCTATAACATGAAACACACATTCGAAAATATATGTACATTTTTATAAAAAGGTTATTTAGAATGTACGGTCAATACGCAAAGGCCGCATTATATTGTACACAATTTGAACATTTTTCATTTGTAAATTTGAGTAACTTTATAAAATTTATAGAATTTCATTATTTGTATTTCTATATAACATAGTCTTTAAATTTTTTTTTCATTTGGCCGGGATTTTGTTAATTTAATGTAGCTGTTGTTAGATTTAATTCATATTCATAACCTCTGTAGGAGTTGGCTTAGAAATTTAAATGTAATTAATCTATATACATATTATATATGCGGAAACAATATATATTATATATATATTTATTATAATAGTTTCCGCAAATAAAATTAATTTTAATGATCTTTTTTTAACTGTAGATAGGTAATTAATAGGTAGAACTTTCGTTTAAACTTTTTACTCTAATGTAGTAATGTACTTGCAAAGTGTGAATTTGTTTTCAAAAAAAGTTAATAAAATTTGTATTGTATTTGCGTTCGCTCCTCTTTTTTCGTGATTATTATACGTCTGTGCACGTGGTTCTGGGGACAAATCATATATCGGTGAAGTGGGTCGGGTCTCGGGTGTTTGGGTTGGTCGGTATACAAAGTTTCGACTGAAATCAGTGATTAGCATCAAACTATGTACGTCGAAAGATAAGCGATGAAATTATTCAATTTAGCCAAATTATATTCATGATTAATCATTTACGCATGATTATAATAGACTAACATTACGGGCAAACTTTCGTCGTTTTATGATTTTCATGTTCGCAAAATACTGCTGCGAATGCCGTAGAATGCCGCCACTTTCGAGCTACAAAAAGAGGAGCCAGTTAACGGTAACTTTGAAGTTTAAAAGCATTTCTCGTGCAACTGGTAACCTTTATTAAAACGTTTCTCTAACAGTCGGCCATTTGGTTTTCGCTATATCCAAAGTTTCTATTGAATTATCTACAACTTACTGAAAAGTGCCGGTAAACGGAAAAAAATGAAAACAAGTTTTGTATCAAACGCAGGCTCGAGGCTCAATAGTATAGTTCACGATTGTCAAAGTTTTACATTCATGCATTTGTACAATATGCCTTAATGCCTATTAGCAGCATGCAATTTCGCTAATTTATTACTGACACCAAACATGTGTCATTCACCATTTTGAAAATATCCAACCAAAAACGTGCAACCAACCACTTCACAAGAGTCCAGACAAGGGGAATTCTTTAACAAAATCAAACCAGGTATTATCTAAAGATTTTACATTTATTAGCGGCATGTATGATATCACTGAAATTTCACTAATTCATTACACCAAACATGTGTCGTAGCTATTCGCCATTTTGACAATATCCAACCAAAAACGTGCAACCAACACTTCACAAGAGTCCAGACAAGAGGCTATATTGCGCTTGAATTCTTTAACAAAATCAAACCAGGTATTATCTAAAGATTTTACATTTATTAGCAGCGTGTATATGATATCACTGAAATTTCACTAATTTACTACACTAAACATAGCTATTCACCATTTTGACAATATCCAACCTTTTCCGACCATTATTGATTTTTTCACGGTTCCAAAAGTTCTCAAGCAACTGAACACTAACTTGGAAAATGTGGCAAAATGTGTGTTTTCATTCTTTAATTTGAGCATTTTCATCAAGATGCTATGAAACTGAAGAAAATGTGAAAGCTACAGAAATTTTTGAATCGCGCAAATGCTTTTGCATATATGCATCTATTGAAATGAGCGTGTGCTCAATACATTGGATATTTCTATTGCCAGGTCAGACATGTTTCCATACATTTTTACATTCAATTTTTGTATGTTGTTCATCTCTAGCACGAAATGTACATTTCGACAAAAACTCTTTAAAGGAAAATCAATCAGACGGCGACTGGTGTTTGTATTCTTAAAAGCCTACTCACACTCGAGCTCAATGTGAGTGCATGAGAACCGGCTCACTGTCTGACCGAGCCCTTTCGGCTAAAACACTCAATACAAGTTTCTTAGTCTCCTCGTAAAAGTAAATACGAAGCCTATAAAGGTAAGATTCGAAGTGAAACAATCATATACAAACTAACACTCTTTTGATATTGTCAAATCAATTACAGATAGCGGGTCTGGTGAATAACTACGACACATTTTTAGTCTGATAAATTAGTGAAATGTCAGTGATATCATGCATGCCGCTGATAAGAGTATGTAAAACATTTAGATAATAATACCTGGTTTGATTGTGTTGAACAATGCACCCTCCCGGTAACCTTTCCAGATTTCAAGTTTTACTCTCGCGAGCTATGTCCAAAGATGTAAAACATTCTTCTTCGACACATGCGTCAGAAAGAATTTCTCATTTTGACCAATAAATGTAGAAATAATTAAGCCATAAAACGAAAACGAGGCTCCGGTTTCGGCCCTTCAACCTCATTCTCGTGTTTTGGCTTACCTTCACATTTATTGGTCAAAATTAAAAATTCTTTCTGACACATGTGCTGAAGAAGGATGTTTTACATCTTTGCACATAACTCGCGAGAGTAAAACTTGAAATCCGTTTCATTGAAGGTCGTCCTAAATTGGAAACGGTAAAGTTCTGACGTAATCAATTACCGGAAAGGTCTATTCAGGCGCAATATAGCTCCTTGTGAAATGTTGCTTGCATTCACGTTTTTACTTATATTGACTGCATGTAGCGTTTATCTAAACAATATGAGATGATTTATGACTGTTTTTATGGAAAGTATACTTTCTGCACCTCTAGTACCAGTAAACTTTTAGTCATTTATTATGTTTCCAGAAAATCATTCATTCCAGAGGTTTTGGAGCCACAAGGCAGACCATTGACCATTAATTTTAGTGCTAATTCTATATAAGGAAATGATATCGGATTAGGATGTGTGCTCTTCGCATTAAAACAGACTGGTATATGCAATATTGAAAGTACGTTCTTTTGTGGATCTACAAATCTGTGTGAATTTTATAAGCTTAGGTTTCCCCTCCGTCAGGTTGTTATTGTATAGATATAAGTTCATCATGGTATCTAGCGCCAACAAGCGTAGGCATTATAAGTGGGTTTTCTCTGGAGGTTTACTTCGAGCTCTCCCAATTAAAATTATCTATATATATACAAGATTGACTGTTATCTAATGCCCGAAAAACCCACTTTTTGCAAACTTGGACAGATAGAGCTTAAAGCTACAGATGTTTTTTAATCGCGAATGCTTTTGCATGCATCTATTGAAATGAGCTTATGCTCAATACATTCAGTGGATATTTTTATTGCTGGGTCATACATGTTTCCATGCACGCTGGGTTTTGTCATCCCATGCTTGTATATATGCTGTTAATCTCAAGTTGTAAACAAAATTTATCAACGCTGAAGCGGGCATTTTGAAAAGCCGGGTAACACAGACACACACTCACGGCATGAGCGTTTCTGAGAGACAACTGTCTGTCTGAGCTTTTACGGTTTCCTTCCTTAAACAATGGCCGGTAATAGTTTTGATAAAACACACGAAAAATAATCTTGCAATCTGGTCATGAAATTGTTAAGATGCATGTGATTGCAATCTTCCAATCACCTCCCTTTTGAAAAGGAAAAAAAAAGATTTAAAAATTGTCGAAACTGACCTATTTTCTGCAACTAAATTGCAATGCAAAGTAACGTTGTGGTCTCTTAACCTTCGCAAGCACTTCTTTGCAGACATAATTGAGATAAAAAATGCGATCAGCGGTGAGACACAAAAAGGGTCCCGCGTTATAATTATTCTAAATCACCCAATGGCAATGTTTTAACCATCTTATCTACTTCTCCGCGCTTTGATTTCGAACGAGTGTATTCTCTGCCGAAAGGGACAGGAAATTTGTTAAATAATAAACGCCGCCTTTTACGGAGATAGCCTTATCTAAAACACTTTAGGACTGGTCAAAGAGTAGTTACAGACAATAGTAGTTCAACGTGTGTTATTCAAAATAATGCACTTGTTTATTGACAGGTGCAGTCGCATATTTGGTCGACTCAAAAGATTTTTTTCAATGTGTCTCTTTGACAGCACCCCATGCAGATTTACAAGAACAGGCACAATTTTCTTTAATTTAAACTCATTTGAGAACAAATGGGCCAAGGTAGCAAAAGCTTTAGTCATTGTTTCAAAGGTTATACAATTGCACGGACCTGCTCTTATATAAAATTGTGAGTCTAACAGCGTTTATATATGCAGGTTTTCGTTTAAGCTATAATATAATTTTTTTATTATATTGTTGTTATCACCAGGCCTAATTATTACATTAATGACAGACTTTCTGAAAACAGCAGCATAAGAATTGAAAGCCTGTATAAGTGCTATAGTGGCGGCTTCAGCCTTCAGTCCGTTAGATTGCAAAAAATGAAGTCAAATCCAGTAGCTGCATGCAGCTTAGAACATTTCTTACAAGTTGGCACGTATAACAAAGGGAAGACGCGGTATCTGGAATATTTCTGAGGGTCAATATTACTGTGTAATGTGTGTATTGTTAAGCCCTGGAGGGTCAAAAGTATTTTCAGTGCAGGTTGACTATCTGATTTCTGGATCATATACTAAGGTAGAGCAGAATAAAGAAGAATTCTCGCAGTTAACTGAATCTAATAGTAAAGTTAAGCAGAAAAAGGAAGCATTTCCGCAGGTTGACTAGCTG